TAGACGCCCCCCCCACCAGTCAGCTGAGCACTAGAAAACCTGCTTTTACAGAGACCCCCCTCGCCCCCCAGGACTGTGTGGAGCTGCGGGGGAGGGGGGGTGAGGACACCGCACACTTACTGAACGGCTGCTCGGCTTGTGCTGGTCTATCGGGGACTTTCCAAACTCCACACTGCCGGCCCCAGGGCTATGCAATGGCTAATACAGTATTGCCGACTTCAAGAGATCAAATCTCATGAGATTGGCCCCAAAATCATGACATTTTAAAAAGGATTCTATTGTGGTTTTTAGGTCAGTCTCTTGATGTTTGAACTCCCCTGGCCCCTCCCCAGGGTGTGCGCATGTGACAATCAGTGTTGCTCACTCTCCCACATGCACTGGAGAAGGGGATTTTGACTCCTGCTGCAGGAGCTCTCACCCCCCATCTGCCCGTCTCCTGCCCAGCAATTAATCCTGTCCCCATCCAACCCCCTTCAATTCAATCGTGCAATCCCCATCATCACCCCCCATCAGTTCAGCACCCCTACCCCACTGCCCTCAGTTCACCCTCCCAGCACTCACCCTATCGGCTCAGAACCCACCAACAATACAGCCCCCCCAGCCCGTCAGCCCCCCGCTCACTTCAGGCCCCCTGCAGCCCCCAGGCCATAATAAAGCCCTCCCAGCCCCACCTCTGCTCCACCTGGGGTTCTTCACCCTCCCTAGGCCTGGGGGCTACAGTGGGGTCCCCTCTCCAACTTCCCAGGGGAGCAGCCGCACTGGGGTGGTGACAGCGGGAGCCCCAGGCACACCCAGGGCAGCTGACACGATTTCTAAGTAAAATTAAGACTAATTTTTAGAACTCTCAAATGTCGGGATTTTTTTTCCAGCCACAGCTCTGTCGCGAGATCATGAGTGGGGCTTAATTTTATTCAGAAATCGCATCTCTCACGATCAATTTGTGAGAGCTGGCATGTCTGCTAATAGCTGATGTCTACCTAACCCCTTCTGACATTTTTAACATTTTTCTTTTGACTTATAAAGTAGAGAGATCAAACAGAAATGTCTATTTTTGTATGAAGAACAGGAGTACTTGTGGCACCTTAGAGACTAACAAATTTATTAGAGCATAAGCTTTCGTGGGCTACTGCATCCGAA